TGAAGAAACTTTTCCCTTATTTCTTCTCTCTTGATCTTGAAGTTGTTAGAATTTGTAGGAGCTTGTGGTTGCTTACAATCCTCAAGTGTTGGTGTGTAAGAGCTTCTTGCAATGTGATTCTCCAAAAGGAAGGCTCTTTCTTCCTAGGCAAGGCTATTTATAGCTAAGGATGAAGGCTGTCATCTCAGCCCACTTAGCTAACCGATCCATGTGAGTGGGGTGTTGGGTTAGAGTTAACTCCCATGCATGTATCATTATGTAAGAATTAGTGGTCTTTCCAATAAGACTAGCCTATTACAATAAGAGATGGGCCAGATTGGACTTAATACACTTTGATCTTTAGGCCATCAAAACATATTTATGTAGACTTGTGCCATGGAGGCCTATACTATTTAGAGCCTGTCATGTAAATTAAGCCCATTTATTTGGGTTAAATATTCACATGTCTACAAATGCCCCCTTGAGTACGAGGTGACAAAGTTCGGTGCGGCACTGATGCCCTCGAAAATGTTGATATCCATGTTGGATGATTGTTCAACTTGGCCATTTAAGAAGACTTTTGTATAACTTAGAAGTATGAAGGAGAGATTGCATGTTAACCTTTAATCCACTGTAATGGCTGAAAGTTTTTGAATCGTGATGCACATGGGATTCAAGGATGTCATACTATTCATTTGATTTACCAGACCAACAAATTTACAGGTCCCGTGGTGAACGCCAATGTCCCACTTATCTGGTTGCTCCACTAGTCAACTAATTTGATAGTGATTAGAAACTCCATGTGTTCTACCATTCTTGGAAAGTATCATGAATAGACTTGGCGTATTGGAATTTTAGTAAAATACAAAATCTCCATGTTTTCCTGTATAAAGAGACACCATGACTTGATGTTAGGGTTTTTACCTCATAGAGACCACTGTTGAATTTTTTGAATTTTCATCGAGAACCATCCCCCTCTTGTGTAGTTGTAGGCCGTTACCGGTATTGAATTCCATACAGTTACTCTCAACTATAGCTTGTTGTGGAGATCAAGGTTGTAGTTTGAAACCGTTCACAAAGTGTCATATGTGCTTTCTTGGTGGAAGTGGTTGCTTGCCAAAGGGACCAAGTTTTGGAGATTGAGACGGATTTCTACAAGAAGACAAGAGTTGTCGTTTATTGCTGCAGGTTTCCGCTTCGGATCCATTCTCTTCAGGTTTGTTCTTTTATGTATTTTCCATGTATTTCACAACATTTTCCATGTATAATATTTTCTTATGATGTTTTCAACATCTTATATTTGAATGATTGATATTTCCATCTATACCATCATTTTAAAATCTTGATATTAATTACGATATTCTAGAGTAATTGGAATTTGCTGTACTATTGAAAAATTTTGCATATTACTTGTGTAATTGATACTTTAAGTAGATATATTCATAATCCAATGATAAGCATTGAAGTTCGTTGATTACCATACTTAAAGGTACTATGGATTATGGCTTATTTTATTGTATCTATCCTTCTTTTAGAAGGTTTTTGGTGACATAAATTCAAATTCTAATTTAGAATCAGTTTTTATATTTTATTTGTGTTTCCATACTTAGTGTGGGTGTACTATGTACTAAAATTCTTTTCAACAATTTTGTATAATCAAATTTAGTGCAAAATCATAATTTCATTGCTTTAAAAATATGTTTGAATTGAAATTGAATGGTTAAGAATTCTCTTAGTCAAAATTTCTCTATGTAAAAAATGATTTCCTTTTATTTTACTACATTGTTGTAGCAAGTTGTTATTTTTCAAGAAAAAGAGCAAATCTTACATCGAAAAGGTAGGTATATTTTAATTAAAATATAATATAGCGATCCTTTGACCAAAGCTCTTTCGGTTTCATAGGTCATTAGTGATGAAAACTCAACATATGCAAGGTGGAGATCCCATGAACTAGGTTCAAATGGGAAGAACGAAGTCACTAGATGATTCGTTGAGCACTACAAATATCTACTTTTTATCTCTATCTCATTTTAAGGTGCAAGTGGAGATCCCATGAGCTTGGAGGTGAGGCCGCCTCTTATGGGAGCTTAGGTCGATCTCTAGTAAGCTTATGAAACTAGGATGGTGCGGGCCATAATAGTGTCACCCCCGTTGGACTTATAACAATTATGCAATATCTATGTAGGTAGTAAATTTAGCAGATCTATATTAAAGAATAATGGTTTAAAGGCTTATTTTACCAAGTTTCTAAAGGTCTTGACCTACATATCCAAAGTGTTGGTTCAAAGTCTAAAAGACACCAACATTATTGCATTCTTGTTTTAGAATTCTAACTGGATATCATTTGTTTACATTAAAACTTTTAAATCATTTGAAAGATTGTTGCATTTTTTATTTTTTGTGTATGTGATTAAAAAGTTTTAAAGGAGCATTTTTATCTTTTTATTTTTTCACATGCTTACAAATTTTAACACATCTGTAATTTATCTAAACTGTTCATGTAGTGGAGCTTGGTAATGAAAGATATCAGTTTTGTAGTGGAGAAACTAGTCATGGTGATAGTAGCATCATTACAAACTGTTCAAGATGCTTGTAGGAGAAGGGAGAAAGGATAAAATGTAATGCATTCTCCCAAAGAATTGTTTTTCTTTTCAAGGAGAAGAGGGGAAAAGGAGAAGGTTTCCCTACCTTTCTCTTCCTTTCACTATCTTTTCTTTTAAACCAAACACAACCTATTGAAAAAAAAACAAAGAAGTTCATTTTGAGATTACTTTCTTGAGTTGGACCACCATTTGTAAGACGTGTCAACACATCCTACAGTTGGGCAGAAACTTTCCCAATATTTTACTTGTCACAGGTGAAAGAAGCCATTGTCACCCAAAATTTTCTTTTAGTCCTCACAAGCAAAGCATAAAAGAAAAAGGAGTGGGATCTGCTAACAACCAAAAGGGTATTAACATGCTGACAACATCTAATACTGCAGCGCATTCAAAAACATTTCCCATGAATGACAACATATAGGCGTTATCATAATCAATTTGCTACCCAATAACACTTCCCACATGTTTGCCTAATGATGATCAAATTCACCAAATAAGGAATGCTGGTCTATTGGGCACCTCGGACTAGGGCTCGTTCTGCACGAGATGAGAACCTATATACAAGTTAGAGGTAGGTTGGAACAGGGTTCAAAGTATCAATACATACCAGTTCATATTGGCCGATATGTATCGTATTGAGAGCACTCCGATACACTCCCTATAGAAGGTGTATCGAGGTTCTAACCGGTTCAAGGGGCAGAGGAAACTTAAACCTGCTCCCATGAATCGGTTTTGAAAAAAAAATAATATATTGATACTGCCCGATACACCCCTACTGACATATTGAATGTATCGATATTTAGAATCTTGAGTTTAGAAAGCCCGGAGTGAATTAAAGATAGTAAATGCAACGTAATTACTATGTATAAGTTGGGGCACTTGTGTCAACCAACACATAGTGATAATGGCTAAGACGCCTGGTAGATCAATAAGACACGTTTAGATGATTCATGTGCCACGTTCAAGTGTACATGGATTAGATGTTGTCAGCTTGGTTGTGTTATCATGTGCACACGGTGCAGCTCGATTGTATTTCTTCTGATGTTAGCTTAGCTTAGCAAGGTGTGTTTTTTTGTACATTCAACTCAGCTTGGGTGCTGAGCTGGTTATTGTCCAGCATTGCCGAGGGAGTTCGGATCAAGTTCGGAGGCCTATTGTTGGTAGTTAGTTCAGCCCTCATCATGACTATGCATAGGAGACGGGATCTGTTCCTCACAAATGGGCGCCTCACAGGCACTTCTACCGTGCAGAGGAGCAGATTAGGCCTCTATGCATAGAGAACTACAATTACACATTGGGAACAATTCCCTTGTCATTCATAGGGAGATGTTCCTGATGTTCCTGATACAGAGCTGTTGTGATCTGTGGGTAGGTACGTGGGGGAACAATCAGCTGGATTTCTTACTAACTCCCTTCTGTTAGATATTGTGGACAGGCCCAATGCAGATTTCTGATTTCCACTGTAGAGCTGTAAACATCCACAAATGTCAAAAACCCCCTCTACACACCAATGCCCACCAATGAATTGGCATCAAATCTGACCTGGCACCCACCCCAATTGTACTTTGGGCCTAAAACTTCTGACCCTGTACTGAATTGTCATTCTCCCTTAAAGAAATTACCTATTTTTATGCATATTATAAACATTCCTAAACAATAAATAAATCTTATGCCTTATTAGGCTTGAAAAACGAAACAAAAATGTATATTTTATTTATACACGAATTCCACTTTCCCATTCTGTCTTCTTAGCCTTTGATATTCAGTATAACTTTACCGTAGTTTTTTTAATGGAAGCCCCTTTTCAATTTTTCAAGGATAAAGAAATAATCTTCAACTGGTTCAGCTTTCCAGGTTGTAGGATTTTTTTTTTTATATGAGAAAAATGTGTTACACAAGACCGTGGGGAAACACGACCCCTAAAGTCACTAAAGCAAATAAAATAAAGATCCCTAGAAAGTTTACAAGAATTAAAAGAAAAAATAGAGTGAGGAGAAGACACTGCCACGTCTGAACATGTGCTGTATGTAACATACACCTCTCTCCAACGATTCCTTCGGCTTTAAGCATCCCGAGATGATGCTCTTAAAATTCCACATGGGAGATATCTGCCCTTTTAAACAGCAAATAATGATCTTCGAATCACCCTCAATCGTAATTACACGATCATTAAAGTTAAGGGCCTGATTATGAGCTTCCCAGACTCTATCCACGCTACAAGAAAAACGGCCTAGGCCGGCGGTCAAATTTTAATTAAAACAGGGATAACGTAATGCGCCATGCATCCCGACGTTTGTTATTAACAAATAAAATTAAAAATAATAAACAAAATTAAGATATAATTTTAGGGGTCCCGCCAAAACGGTTTTAGTTGCGCCAAGAGAGGGGGTCGTCAATACCAAACAATGAATCTCTCGCAAAAAAAAATTTTGGTTTCCATGAATCACGATGCATTACCTTCTTGGTTTCTATGAATCTCTCTCTCTGTTTCTCAGTCTCTGCAACTCTCGCCTTCAATCGCGTAAAGCAAGTTCAAAATCCTTGCGTGTCCGAAACTTTCACAGGGACTCCAAGTTTGTTTAAGAGCTTGGGGTTGGGTAGGAGATTGATAGTGGCCAGAGTGAGTGCAGCAGAGATAAGTTTGGTGCTGCCTCTTCTTCCATGTTTATGAGGAGTGGTCTCTCTGGGAGTCAACCTGGGAAAGCCTAGCGAATTCTTCGACGGCATATTCGACTGCATCCATGAGATCACTGCTGCTCTCCCCTTCACTAGGATGATCGATTCCTCAGCTTACAGAGTCGATACCATGTCCCGTCTCGCCCAATGGAAGATCGACAGCTTGGCTTCCTGCACGTAACGGAAATCCGATCCTTTCAAGATGGGCAACTGGAATTGGTGAGACATCCAATCAATTCTTGCCTTTCCCCAATTTCAACAAACATTTCGAATGATCATTTCATTATCTCTCAAAGATAGAAAATTGCAATTATTTCTTTTCAGTTCAATCCATTCTATTCTGTATACAAAGTTAAAAAATGAAATGACCTTTTTTTGTGCGCTCTCTCTCTCTCTCTCTCTCTGTGTGCGTTGATCTTTGTAACATTTTTTGTCTTAGAAAGATGGAATTAGAAGAATTAATCCTTATGTTTTTTTTTTCTTCAAAATTTTCTGGTCTTGAAGGCATTTATCGGAAGAGAAGAATCGGGTATTGTCCATTAAACTACACCCAGAAATATCAAATCTAACGAGAGACAACCCCCCAATTGCATCCTTCATCATTCTAGTCATATGTTCTTTGGGAGATTGAAAGCCACTGGTTCATCCGGGTAAGTGCACAATATTTGTTTACTTACTTTTTACTTGAGCCTAATTAGTTAAGTTCCCCTTTTTTCTAAAACAGCATATCCATGGCAAAAGAACAACTTCTTGCTTTCTTCGTGAACTTATTTCATGTTACTTGAGATTGCAGGAATAACAAACAAACAGATAAAAAGTAACAACGATTTTTTTTGGGTGATTGATACTCCGTTAACCGGGAAGTTCATTATTGACGTCGAGTTCCTTGATTTGAAGATCTCATCGCCAAACGTATGATTCTCTCTCTCTGCCATCTTTTCCCTCAAGTGTTACCCCCCCCTCTCTCTCTCTCTCTTTTTCCCAGTTCAATTCTGTTCTACAAAAGAAAAATACTAAGTTAGTATTACTAACAGATAGAAGGTTGATTGCTGTAACAAATAAATAAATGCCCTTAACTTTTATTCTGGATGAATTTTGAAACTTCTGGTCTTACAATTGCAAGTTTGCAGCATCAGAGGAGGACTATAATCATCTGAAGTATCAATCTTGCATATAACCTGAACATCTCATGGCACCTTTTCTAAATTAATGCTGATAGTTCAGATGATTGCTGTCCAACCAAGTCTTGTCCCAAAAGATTTTTCATATAGGAAAGTTAAATGGAGTTGCATTCTGTGTATGTGTTGCACATTCTGGCTATGAGAAATTAGAGACATTCTGATGCCATTTAAGACTATAGGCTACTCATTTAGCTATGATTTTTAGTCCAGGAAAGCTTTGTTACGTTACTTGCCTGTATTATCTTGTTCCCTTGACTCCTCTCCCGGTTGTGATTTGTCATGTAGTATACAGGCTTTCACAGACATGTCAATTGAAGCTTGCCAGGCTTTCCTGAACTACATCTATGGCAACATCCAACAGGATGAGTTTCTGACCCACCGGCTTGCACTTCTCCGTGCAGGTGAAAAGTACGACATCTCTGACCTGAAAAAAGCATGCAATGAGAGCCTTCTAGAAGACATTGACACTAAAGGCTTCTAAAATTTGCTCAAGGAAAAGGTAATGAAGTGTGCTTGTGTAGTGTTCTATATAATTATTTCCATGCAGATGGATAACTGGGCTTCTGGTGACAGATTTGATGAACATCGACATATCAGGAATCCTTGCATTAGAAGAGCTTCATATGGTTTCTCATGGTATAGAAGCCAAAGATGAACAATATCTGATTGCCCTGAAACCTTGCTTGTAAGGAGTTGCTTCATAAGGAGTTGTTTTCATCAGGAATCCTTGCATTAGAAGAGCTTCATAAGGAGTTGCTTGTAATCCATGTACAGGTAGGGGTGTTTTAGGATTATCAATTCCTGGTTGCCCTGAAACGTTCCAATTATTCCAGCAAGATGAACAATCCGGGGAAGAAGGTTGTAGAAGCCAAAGATCAGGGGATGAAGGCAGTAGCAGTCAAAGATCAAGGGAACAAGAAATTGTCATAGATCAATAAATTGTATTTGAACAATTTGCAAATTGCAAGTGAAAAAACAGTGTTTCAGTTTTCTTTATAAATTGTTATAATGATTAGTCGTTATATTAATAGATTGAGTTTTACATTCAATCTTTTATTTAAGTTTTCATATATCAATTTGCAAGAGTGTATTAAGTATATATTATAGTGGTGGATCAATAAAGTGCAGATATAAAAAAATGTTGAAAATAGCATATAAAAAAATAAAAAACAGTCATCAAAGCCGGTGGTCACCTAATCGCCACCGTAGCTGTACAAAAGGCATATAAGCCGGCGGTTCAGACTGCTGCCTGAAGGGGCAGCCTAATTTTTTGCAAAATTTATGCTGGTGGTCCAGACGCCGCCTAATGGAGCAGGTCAATTTTTTGAAAATAAAGCCGGCGGCCGCCTAAAAGAGCAGGGTTTTTACTTGAACCTACTCCGGCGGTCCTTGGTGTCTATGTCGGCGGTTTAGACTGCCGGCACACATGTAAATAGCAAATCAAGCTGGCGGTCCGCTTTTACTTGTACCGGCGGTTTGTTATGCCGGTATTTATAATATCTTTAAAAAATATTTATTTGTTTATTTTATTTTCGTTGCTGGCAGTTTAGGACCGCCGGTATAAAACAAGATGGCCGGCAATTTTGGAAAACTTCCAGTAATGGCTTAATTTAATGGTCCAAATTGGTACCACATTTACTGGTGGTTTTGAATAGATATTGGGGCGGTCATGACTTTCTCCGATGGTGGCTATATCGGCAAAGAAAGACCGCCGGCTAAAATCAAAGCCGGCAGTTCTGAAGTTTATGCCGGCAGTCACCGACCACCGACAAAAACCTCTTTTTTTTGTAGTGCCATATGGTATCTAACAATCGTTGCAACAGAACAAAATCCATCCCTCAAACGAGAGGCATCAAAATTGATCTTAACTTCACCATACTTGGGGGGATCCAAATAATAAGATTCCGTTTTTTCTATCTATGTTATGTTCAGAATTGTCAATAAGCTCCCGATATTGAGAGAAAGCCTTTCCCACTCTCTCCAAAATATGATGGGGGGGCGTCCTCTTTATTTTCAAAATTTTTCCTATTCCTATACTTCCAAATCTTCCAGAGGATGAATAAACATTTTTCCTTCATAAATTTTTCTCCATTATGTCCTTATGAATTCCAATCCACCAATCAACCATTTGATTACTATCCCCATTAGAACTTATAAGATTAAAATCAACGCAACCCCAAACTTGCTTAGCAATGGTGCTGTCCAAGAAAATATGCTTTAGAGTTCTCTTGGGTATTAATACAATTAACGTTGCATACGAGCCATGAATCAGAGAGGTTCTTTTGGGCATTGATATATAGTTTTGTTGCAAAGCATTCAATTTCCTCCCCTAGACATTAGATTTGTTTTTCTTGTTGCTATTGATGAAGATGTTGGGATGAGTATAGCTTCTATGTTTCTATGAACAATAATGAGAAGGTTTTGGTTTTGTGGAAAATTTGAATTCCTTATGGGTAAAATAGAAAACCTTCAGTTCTAAGCAGATAGTTTGTACAGGCAGGGCAAACAATAGAGACTAAAGATGTGGCTTTAGAATGAGCTGAAGTTGATGGTTGGAGGTGCTATATATCCTATCAATTATCTCCTACTGTGGTTTTTGGCTTTTAGAAGATTCAAATATTGATGGGTAGAACGATAGAATTAGTAGAACTTTTCTAGTGATTGGTATGGATTGTGGTTAGATATAGAGAATTTTTTCCTGATCCTTGGAGAAATCTGAAAGGGGATTTTTGTACGTGAAGGATCAAGCACAGAACAGAAAGTTTTAGAGAAGAAACGAAGGAGAGAATGAGGAAGAAGAATTCAGGCTTAAATCAAATAGTTTTTTTCAAGGATTTTAAAATCTAACCAGACAGCGAATCGGCCAGGGGTCCGGTTCTGAGTTGAATGGTTTGACTGTTCGAACTAAATGGATGGCCCATTCTAACAAAAAAATAAAATAAAATAAAATAAACAGCCAAAATTGTTGGACAATTTGTAGAGTTCGGCCACCCAGGTCAGTGATTTGCTGGTCAAATCAACAGTTTTTAGCGAAATAATAGTTCTAGGGTAAAATAGAACCGGTCTCCCAGTTATTCTAGTCTGACCATTCGATCCGATCTGGTTTTGAAAACCATGGATTTTTTATAAGAAAGGGTTAGTTAATGTATAAAGAATTGATATTTGATGGAGGGTGATTTGGCCCAACCTCGTAGCATAGGGACACGTGTGCGTGACCTGGCTCGACGAACAGCTCAGCCTAACAGCACAACCGTGACTCAACGGGAGGGACCCGTCGAGTCCAACATTGGCCACTCGACGGGTTAAGCGACTCGCCGAGGACTAGCGCCTGACCAACCTTGACTCCCACCAAGTGTGGGAGATCCCGAACTCCTCTCAGGGCCCGAGCTCCCCTTGAGATCCAAGCTCCTCCTAAGGGGCCCCGAGCTCTCCCTTCCTAAGAAGGGAGCACCCCGATTTTTGGCTAAGTGTCCCGAGGGAGAAACACCTCGGGGCAGCACCGTCGAGACTTCTGTTCGAACTTGCTTAAGGCCCGCCTCCAGTGTAGGCACCTCGGCGTACCTCGGCACCTCGGTGCAAGGAAAACCTGCCCCAAGTGGTTCGACGTACAATAGCTCGGCAGGCTACAGGGAGATCTGCCTGACATCCGTGCCTGCCTGACATCCGTACCTACCGGATCCAGTGGCAGGGTTCGGATCCCTTGCCAGGCGGCATTCTGCTTGCCGTCTCTAAAAAGCATGGCACGCCTGTCGAGTCCGTACCTTGCAATAGCAGCCTGTAGCAGCAACCTGCACCTGCCACACCTGCCCTGGCCGTAACGGCTAGGGCAGTGGCAGTTATGCCAGATGTGACCGAGCTCCGATATAAAAGAACCCCAACCCTCATGAAGATAAGGTATTGAAGCTAGCACTTTCAACACTCTTAACTCTCTATATCTTCTTTGAGTTTTCCCCAGAGTTCTAACTTAGCCATCGGAGTGTTCCCTCCGGGAGAGCTCCCCAGGAACCCTTCATTTTCTTCTTCCTCTCAGGTGCCGTCCATCACAGCTAGGAGCCAACTCTCGGCCAGCTAGGAGTGCCCAGATTGTGTTGCATCAATATTTTTTAAAAAGAGTATTTAATGGATGGGTTAAAGTGTAGGTTAATTGTTACACTAAAACCTGACTCCTCTATCGGTTAGTAGAAAGGGATGTAGAGGGAAGTTAAGGATTAGGAAATCCAGATCAGGAAACAATTTTGTGGGTAGCATATCCGGAGTTGTAGGAGTTCTTAGCACATCATTATAAGCAGATCAATAAATCAGAATCATAAACGTGGTAGGAAACATGGTGTTATTTATCAAAATTCATGGGTGGGTTTTTATTAGAGGTGTAAAGTGGGCCGTGTCGGGCCGGCATGGCACGGCCCGTGGGCTGCCCACACTTTGTGCGGGCCGTGCCGTGCTGGCCTACGGGCCATCACGGGCCATGCCATCCTCCCCTATGAAAAATTTGGGGGTTGGCCTGGCACGGCCCACAACCTGGGCCCATGTGGGCCCGTGCCGGGTCATGCCGTGCCACGGGCCAGGCTGGCCCGTGGGCCAAGCCTTAGGCTAGGTTGGACCGTGTATTGGGCCAAAGCTATTTATTTAAAAAAGTTGACAAAAAACTTAAAATTTTAATTTTATATGAATTTTGTGTATAAAATTGCTTATATATGCAATAATTAAATAAATTAGTATAATAAAATAAAAAAAATATTTATTTTATTAATATATTATATACTATATATTATTATATAATTATAATATATATAAAATATATATATGGGTCGTACCGGGTCGTGCCACGGGCTGTGTTGGGCTAGGCTGCGGGCTAGGCTGCGGGCTAGCCCGCGGGCTGCGGGCAGCACAGCCTGCTCGATCGTGCCATGTCGTACTGGCCCGTGGACCTAAAATCCCAGGCCCAGCACGGCCCGCATGGTCATGCCGGGCCTGGCACGGCCCGTAGACCGTTGTGCCAGGTCTTATTGGGCTGGTCCAAGTTCGTGTCGAGCCATGCCGGGCCACGGGCGGCACGGCCTCAAAACTCTTTTCATACCATATCTGCATCATAGATTTTCCCTTATAAGCAAGTGTAATGAGCACTAACAAAAGTGCATGTGCTCATTGAAGGTTCTTGTTGTATGGATTTGGGATATATGCATGGGAATTGCTGTGTCCATACTCCACATGTGGGCCATGGGTCTTATATGCAGATTCCAATCGAAAGCACATGCCCAACCATATATTTATGTATGTGCATCAGTAGATCGACCAAATTATCTTTCCTTGTTGTTAGCTTGCTTTCTTTATGTTTTTTCCTCTTCCTGTTTGGTCGTTTGATTTGTAGAATTGCTCGACTGTGATGGAGGAAGTTTTGGGTGCAATTAGAGTTTCAATGGAGGAGGCAATAAATGCTAGAATGAGTAGCTCTTTCATACCACGGGTAGCGGACGTCATGCGCGGCGATGAGAAAAATAAGCAGTGCTTTGAGCCCTCGGTGGTGTCTTTGGGTCCTTATCACAGCGGTAAACCGCATCTTCAGCGCATGGAGCAGTACAAGTTTGTGTCATTGAAACAATACTTCAAACACGATGACGACTCTGTTCCCTTCGGTGAAGAGGAAGTCATTGCAAGGTGCTTTCAGAACTTCACCAGGGCGGCCATCAACGCCAAGAATTGGTACGAGATTGCGGTGCCTGAGAATGAAGAAAACCCGTTTGTGTGGATGATGTTTCTGGACATCTGCTTCCTCTTGAACTTCATGGAGCAGGCCGTCGGCACTAAGACGCCAAGCTCGGAAGTGGCCGGTGGTGATAATAACTTGAGGCTGAGCAGCCAGGAAGAGGCTTTCGTGGTGAGGGATATCATGCTCCTAGAAAACCAGCTTCCCTTTGAACTTGTCAAGACATTTTGCAATATTAAAAGGTCTGTAGAGCCTATACTTCGCGGTGAAGCTGGGGAGGGGCGGCAAATGTACAGAAGAATGATGTTGGAAATAGACCGATCCGTCCCGGTTGCCCAGCAGCAGCAGCAGCAGCAGCAGCAGTCCAGACGGTCGTCTGGGACGTCTCATATGGAGCCATATGCTCTGATGAATGCATTTGTTGACAAACTCATTAGGCATTATAGTCTCGAAAAACAAACCCCAACATCATCGTCGTCATCAGCAATATCTTCCAGTAATCCTAGCGCTCAAGTTCAACCAAAGCACCTTCTTGACCTCCTCAGAAGGAAGATCATCGGCGAGGAAAGCACCAGCAACAATTCTGATGAACAACAATCAACCGGCGGCCAGTGGTATTCATTCCGTTCTATCAAGGAACTCAAAGATGCAGGTATCAAGTTCAAGAAGACCGGCACAAACCAACTGAAGAACATCAGATTCAATAGCAAATTGTTTCGTGGGGAGCTCTATCTTCCTGTGATCATGGTGGATGACTCAACCAAATCCAGGCTGCTCAATATTATCGCCTACGAGATGGGGCAAGGCGGTCCTCCCGACCGTGCGGTCACGTCCTACGCCTGCTTCATGGACTCCCTCATTGATAGTGCGGAGGACGTGAAGGAGCTGAGGTCGGGAGGAATTCTGCTCAACGCCCTAGGTAGCGACGAGGAGGTGGCAGATCTTTTCAATACATTGACGACCGGTGTTACGCCTGAGCCTGGTGCATATGCTCATGTGAAGAGCTCCATTGAATCTCATTGCATGACTGAATGGAAGGTATCCTTGGCAAACCTCTATCATACCCATTTCAATAGCCCTTGGACGACGATAGCCTTTATTGCAGCTCTGTTCCTTCTCATCCTGACTATCTGTCAAACTTTCTTTGCTGCCTTCCCTCGAGAAGCAGTGTTTAAAAACTGATCAGATGACTCGGCTCAGTTTCTAATATATTAATTTCCTCTAGTTGACTCGGCAAGATTAATTATTAATTTCTTGTTATATTCTTACATTTTTATGTCTTTGTCTCTGTGTGTATGCATAGAATTACTCTTTTGTATATTGGGATCGAACTTTTATGTAATTAATAAATATATTGGTGGATCTTTTGTCAATCCATTTGAAACCACCCTCAGCCTCCGTCCATTTTCTGTTTAAGGGGGTATTCTGTAGTGTGGATGAGAAATTAGTAGGTGTGGATTGGTCCACACCACACTCTGTGGAATGGATCAAGTCACACCACATCACAGTCTACAACTGTATTGAACTATGGATAAATTGTGTGGATCAGATCAGTCCACACCCACGGTGCCATTTTGTAGGAGTGGTGTGGATCACACACTCTTTTGATTTTATGTATTTTATATACATTTTATTGGAGATCTACACAATTGATCATAAATGTCTAATGTTTGCATTTCATATGGTAAATAAATTGAAAAAAAAGGCATCAATATGTAAACAACAATTGCATTTTTTAAATAATTAAATTATTTTTTTAAATATTATTTTATTGATAAAAATATTAAAAAATTAATATTTAAATAATAAAAAAAGAGTTGAGAAGGAGAACCGTTGGACTTGTGCTAGAATTAACATTAAAAATTATTATTTTATTGATAATTTATTAAAAATTAAAAATTTAAGAATTATTAAAAGATTAAATAAAACGAGAGTAATTGGATCAATGTAACACAGGTGCGTTGCATTGAAACCTTCCCATTAACTGTCCACACCATAGTATGGACCATCTACGAGAAAATACTGTGGACAATAAATTGGGGTGTGGCCCGTCCCTATCCACACTATTTTGTAGATGGGACCATCCACACATAGCAGAACACCATATTTTATCATGAACATGACCAAAATGGTCCCATCCAGGATATTTACACACTACCGAACACCACCTAAAGTAACAAAAAAGTTACAACACAAACAATACAAATATTGTAATAGAAGGTTAGAAATGCATATAAATGATATGAGGGGTGAGAGGATATTGAATATCTTTTGGTTATAGGCTTTGCGATAATACCCAATTTTCGTAAGTACTACTTAATTCTCATTGCAACTAACTTAATGAGATAGGGTTTGGAGTCCACCCCTATCTCCAACGACTAACGAACTTATTTAATGGTTAACACAAAATGTTTGGGGGAGACCAGAACTAGGAGGCACAACATTGTAAGAACAATGAATGAGAATGCAATAAATATTTTATACTTGTTCGGACATTGATTTTAATCTTTTTTAAGGATGGTGTGGAGTACCTGCTATTATAAATGTTTTTCTTTTTTCCTTTCGAATGGATGTTAATAATGCTTTTTTCCAGGGTGATCTTGATAGGGAGGTTTACATGAATTTACAACTTGTTTTTTCTTTAAAGGCGAAGAATTTTGCATATCAACTTTGAAAATCTATACATGGGCTAAAGCAAGCCCCTTACAATTGGTTTGATAAATTTTCTACCACCCTCAAGTATGTTAGTCTAAACATAATCTTGTACTAAGTACTCTTTAATCGTTTCATCCTCAAGATCCAGCATCACTATTTTTCTTGTTTATGTTGATGAAATGCTCATTACTAAGAATGACGATTTAGTGGAGGTGGCGGCCCAGCACAACCCGACACGAAATTGGACTTGCCCGGCCCATCTCGGCACGAAGGCCCACGGGTCGTGCCAGGCTCGGCACAGAGGTCCATTCCTTACTGGGTTGGAGGTTCGAGGTCCACAGGTCTAGCCCGCAACACGGCCCGTCATGGGCCAACACGGCATGGCCCACAGGACCCGGCCTGTCCAGAATATAGTCGTTGCCCCCCCCCCCCCCCCCAAGGGGCCCAATGGCTAGTTTCAACTTTTTGGGGGGTTTTTTACAAAAATACCCCCAACAACTATAAACAATGACCAAAATGACATAAATGGCCCCCAACAACTATAAAAAATGACATAAATGGCCCCCAACAGCTATATAATAGTTAGTCTAGGGGGGATTTTTGGGTAAAGTTATAAATTACTTTACAATGACCAAAATACCCCTCCCACCAACTAAATAACAGCTAATTTTTTGGGTATTTTGGGCAATTGAATTATGTTCAATTCCTATAAATAGCCCTATCCTCCATCATTTTCATCACACCAATTCAACAATTCTCTTAATCTTTTTTTTTTCTCTCTCTCTCATACTTCTACATTCTCAATTCTACAATTTGAGTAATTCTGATTAGCTAATTGTTTGATTCTGCATTCTCCAATTCTCAAGTCTCAACTTTATTGAAGTTTCAACTTTCAACAAGAAGAAGGCTTGCTCAACCAGCTCAAGTATCTCAATTTGGGAGGCTTGGACGTTGAAAGGCTTCAACTGTTGAAATCAAGTTAGGATTTTGAATTAGTAGTCCGGGTAAGTCAAGTTAGATTAATTTTTAATCTTTTTAGAATTAAAAAAATGGCTAGCTCTTCTGAAAACTGATTCCCCAACATGTTCACCATTGATGATATTCAATCGCATCATGATAGTGTTAGCACTGATGCGATTGATATCAATGGAAGTGGAACTTTCACCCCCGATACTAATACTAGGGGAAAAAGAAGGACCTCTAAGTTGAGTCGCTTTGTTTGGAAAATTTTCAAAGTAGAGGATATTAAGGGGAAGGGGAAAATGGCCGTTTGCTAAAAATGTTGAAAGGACTTTAGTTATTGTAGCAAGGGTGGTACGGGTCATTTGAGCAGACATCTATTCACACATGAGAAGGAAGAAGATGAAGGGAGAGAAACAACTCAAACACAAATTGGGAGGGGGAGTAGTTTTGGTACTTTTAAATATTTACAAGAAAAAATGAGACAAGAATTAGCTATGTATATTGTACATGCAGAACAACAATTTATATTATTTGAAGATCCAAATCTTGAAAAATGCTTTTATAATTCTGTAAACCCACAATATAAAAAAGCTTCTAGGAATACTATTAGAATAGATGCTTTAAAAATTTTTTATTCATATAAACAAAATTTAATTTCTTTGTTAGAAAATCTTAATTCTAAAGTTGCAATTACTTCAGATGTTTGGACATCCAAATTTAATATAAGTTATATTTGTGTTACTGACCATTTTATTAATGAAAATTGGCTTTTGAGAAAAAAGAATTAACTCATTATATGACATATGATAATTTTTTTGTGAAACACATACATTTCTTGGCAGTTGTTACTACAGGTCGAGAACCTACTAGTTTCTCTGAGGCAATGACTGATGCTTGGTGGCGCGAGGCTATGCACCAAGAGAGACAGGCTTTGGAAGACAATAGGACATGGACCTTGGAAGACCTCCCACCTGGAAAAAAAGGCAATCGGGTGTAAATGGGTCTACAGAATCAAGTACAACTCTGATGGATCCATTGAAAGATTTAAAGCACGGTTGGTAGTCCTGGGCAACACTCAAGTTGAAGGTCTTGATTACAACGAGACCTTTGCCCCTATGGCTAAAATGGTCACAGTTCGAACCTTCTTAGCAGTTGTTGCGGCCCAACATTGAGAATTGCATCAGATGGATGTCCACAATGCTTTTCTGCACGGTGATCTCCATGACGAGGTCTATATGAAACCTCCTTCAGGTTTTTCGGCCTTCGGGACTGGAAAGGTATGCAAACTCCGGAAATCTTTGTATGGTCTGCGGCAAGCCCCCCGGAACTAGTTCTCTAAGTTAGGTGCTGCCTTGAAAACTTTTGGGTTTGAACAGTCCTATTTTGGTTATTCCTTATTTACATATCGTAAGAATGGGGTTGTCTTGCACATCCTGGTTTATGTTGATGACTTAATCATTGGTGGGAATAACCCGGAGTTCATACGCAAATTTGAACAGTATATGAACCGGTGTTTTCGCATGAAGGACTTAGGTGTTCTTAAATATTTTTTGGGCATCGAAGTGACTCGCGGATCATCGGGGATATTTCTTTGCCAAAGAAAATACGCACTTGATATTATTACAGAAACTGGCTTATTGGGATCCAAACCTGCTCACTTTCCTATTACTCAGAATCATAAACTTGCCCTTGCTGACGGAGCACTCCTGGATGACCCTGAACGATATCGATGTCTTGTGGGCCATTTGATTTATTTAACCATTACACGACCAGAGTTCAGTTATTGCATCCATGTCCTGGCTCAATTTATGCAGTGTCCTCGTGTTGATTATTGGGATGCGGCATTACGTGTGGTTCGTTATCTGAAAGGACGTCCTAGTTAAGGAATATTTTTGCACTTTGATAGTGATCTGCAATTGTATGCCTATTGTGATTCCGACTGGGCGAGTTGTCTTCTAACTTGTCGCTCTCTTACTGGGTATTTTATCATGTTCGAACATTCCCCCATCTCCTAAAAGACTAAGAAACAACATACTGTCTCCCATTCCTCTATCGAGGTTGAATACTGGTCAATGGCTACTGCCAGTTGTGAGTTGAAGTGGCTAAAAGGTCTGTTGTCGTCATTGGGTATATCTCATCCTCAACCTATATGCTTGTTTTGTGACAATCAAGCCACTCTACACATTGCTGCAAACCCTGTCTTCCATGAGCGAACCAAACATATTGAAGTTGATTGTCATTTCATTCGCAATGAGCTCCAACGCGGCACCATTGTGCCTTCCTATGTCCGTATCGGTGAACAAGTTGCCGACATTTTCACAAAGGCTCTTAGACAAAAACAGTTTGATTTTTTCCTTCCCAAGCTAGGCATTCACAATCCTCATGCACCACCTTGAGGGGACGTATTGGACAAAGATAAGGCTCATCCCGGATTTGAAGGCTCATCCTTATCCTGGATTTGTATATTCCCTGTACAGTTAGGATTTAGAAGTTTTAGAAGCTCAGTATTTCCTTTTGGATTAGGAATTAGTTTTTAGAAAGTTTTGAGGAGCAAGAACTCCAATCGAATTTGTATATATATATATATCATAAGATATCAATGAAAAATCAGAATCTTGGGCTTCCGAAAATTTTCAACTTTTAATCTAATGTATGAAAAATTATTAACTTTTAATTCATATTGTTTGACTCTTTTTTCTTTCTTTACTTCGTAAGGTGACTCTTCATTGTTTTACTTCATTATTGCAGCCTGGTAGAGACAATACCGGATTTTTAGTTGTGAAAAGGATAGATAGAGCAATAATTGAGTTCTATCAACTGGAAGATATGTTGGAATAATGTATTTTGCACATTACAGACATAATTTAAATGTATTTTGCCTTACTCAATGGAATAGTGTATTTTTACTAGTCTCTAGATATCTAGAAATTAATTGAATATAACCATTAATTTCTCTGTCATTGCATACTTATTTGAAATCAAAGGCATTCATTAACATTGCACACTATGTATTTGAGGCAAACTTCATCTTTCATCACCATGCATCAACCAGATGCATACATGAAACCTAACATATCCATCTTCTTATGACAACACAACTAATTAGGCCAATACAGAAAACCCAAGACCAAATAGATTCGATAGAATCATATTTTCTTATATGAAATTCCCTTCAAAAGTAATAATTCCCCCCTTTGATTATCTAATATCTTTAACAATAAAGTCATCTGACACCCGTCAAGCATGACTACAACTGATTATGGGTGCATGACTCCATGTCTACAACCTTGTGTGAATTGCTTTGATTGAGACATCTCTTAATTATACGTGTTTTATTATATATATATATATATATATATATATGTGGGGTTGTAATAACGAGGAGCTAAGATTGAGCTGAAATAGTTCCCACATATAACCATCGACGTAGGATTTACAGACGAACCACATAAATATTTCATGTCTCTTTATTTAATCTTTCTCTTTCAATGAATTTACTTTGTCCCTAGAAAGAACAAAGGCCTCCATTTGTTTGCAGTATGATTGTTATTTTATGGTAATTTTGTTTGTAATAATACAATATGATGAGTGAAAAAAAAAAAAAAATGGAGTACTGCAAGTAAAATTGTAATGCCAACAAATCAGGCTTAAAGTATTAGAAAGAGTACTTTTGCACCAATTAATGCAAATAAAATTGTAATGGAAAAGGGTCTCCATTTCTTCCTAATTGAATCTAGCATCTCCTATAAGAGAAAATTTCATGGGCTGTGTAACCAATCAAAGAGTGAACACACCACTAATTTGTGCACAGGGTGTGGGCTCAAGGTGTAAGGATCACTACTTGCGTGTTTTTTCTTGATTGGTCATGTACGTAACCTGTTGCACACGGTTACACGCCTCTTATTTTTTGCAAATCTTGATAGATGTTTTATGGGCTGTGGAGCCAATCATTGTTTCCAGGTCTGCAGCATAAAGTGGAGACTGGATTCATTCCTCACAAAAGCATTCCCACACTGTGCTTACGCCAATGGAGATATTTTCAATGCACAACTGTAATGGAGCAAAATAATTGGTGCCACAGCCCATATGATTTTAAAAACACTTAAATGGAACCATTTTGGCCACTTGATCAAATGGTCCAATCGTCTAATCTGAATCCGGGTCAGATAGTTTTGGGGCCATGATTGGTCCAGTCTGATCGATCCAATCATTTGGTCCGGTTTGATATTCAAAACCACAAATCATATAAGTCATAGTTTTTGAATTGCTGTTGATTCAGATGGTCGGATCGTTGAGTTTGGGAATCGTTCAGGCAATCAGTTTCGTTTTACCCCAAACTCAGTTCCTGACCAAAAACCGTTGAATCGGTTAATAATCTATTGATCTGTGTGGTCAAACCGTCTACCAATCAACTCTTTCAACAATTTTTGATCATTTTTTATTTTTAATTATTTTTTTATTTTTTTAAATTTTATTATAAAAATGAAACGTCCAAAACGATTAAAACATCGACCCAAAAACCGGTGACCATAACAATTCCATTTCCCGATCATTTTTTAAATCCATGATACAAACTATTCAGCTAATCTGCTATCACGTAGAGAAGCCTACGCCACCGGAATTTTTATTTCAATCCTCACCAAAGATAGAACCACAGGAAACTTACAGCAATGAGCATCCACTTTTCTTTGAATATGTGCTTGCACATTATGCAAGCAAGTCATAAAGGTATCAATAATTCGAACATTAATTCCCAAACTGCTGGATTTTATATGTAGATTCCAATCCAAATTATAATCACACACTCGCAGTACTATTGCTGAATGTTGATCATCATTTCTTAATACCCATCTAAGCAAATAAATGCGCATGCAGCAGCTCACTTCGATCTTCATCACCACACACTCTCTCTCTTAATTTATATCTTTCTCTCTCCTTGTTAATTTGATTAATCTTTTCGTTTGAATTAATTTGAGATGGCAAATGTGGATGAATCGTACACCATTACAACAACACGTAGTTTCAATATTGCATCAGGTAATAAATGCTAGAATTGACAACTGTTTGATACCGCGGGTAACAGATGCCATGCGTAGCGATGAGAGAAACGATCAGTCCTTTGATCCTTTGGTGGTGTCTTTGGGTCCTTATCACCATGGCCAACCGCAGCTAGAGCGCATGGAACAGTACAAGCTTGTGGCGTTGAAACAATACTTC